GCTTGGAATTGTTTTTATCTTTACCCTTGTACTAAATATTCAGACATTTGATTATGAATTGAAGCCTCTGTCTCCTTTTCCTCTACTTCTACTGAGCCTACCTGCTATATCTCTCCAGAAGTCTCCTCCTGAAGGCTCTGAATCTGTGATGAAAAAATTATGCTCCTTGTTCTTATCTGAAATCCAAACAAAACGCAGCACTTAAAACGCTTTTACCACCAAGAAACCTCAAAGCAAAATCAGTATCAGAATCCAAGGGAAACAAGTAAATATATATTTGTACATCCACCAGGCACAGAGAAGCATTTGGGATGTGAATTAATATAATGCTAAATTACCACCATAGAGAGACTATTAGAATGTTTAATGGATTTTTTTAATTGAAATCACGGAAGTGATTTACTTTTGTTTAAGCCAAGCTATAGAGAACAAACCCACTCAGCTGACAGAGCTCCCAGCTCGAGGTGAGCGGGCAGATCCACTCTGTACTCACCTGAGTAGGTGTCCTCTTTCGTAGGCAGGATGACCTGATTACCCTCCTTGCTCTTCTGATTCTAGAAAAACAGAAAACGGTGAAAACCATGAGATGAGTGTGGAAAATTACAAGGAGCAGTTGAGCAGTGGTTTGTCTCTGAGATGGGATACATTTCCTATGAGCACAAACAGTGCCCAGGGAAAGGACTCAGGAAATCCCACCGTGGCCTCTTCCAAAGCCACCTCTATGGAGGGAGCACACATCCTGCTGGAAACCTGCAGGAAACGGGCAGGGTTGGGTTAGGGCACCCATCCCAAAACAGGGGCTGGGTTATTTTCGCCCATGTGTTAATCTGAGTTGAGAGGGTCAGGGTGTGGATCAATACCCACAAATATTGCCTACACTCTGCTGGGAAAGGCACCCACCAAATAAATCTCGTATTTTTGTTAGCTTCCAGGGCTGGCCTGTGGATGCTGCACCAGGCCTGGCATGCTTGGCATGTCATACAGCAGTGCCGCCATGGAAGCCACTTCCCATGGGACTGGGTGTCCCTGGGATGCTTGCCCAACCGGGCAAAGGGTTTGGGCCACCCTGATTTTGGGATTGAGGCGAGCAGGAGGGGCTTGACCAGGAGATTGTGGTGGGCCATGTCTGACTGTGTCCCACCAAGGCCTGAGAGGACTCTGAGGACCTGGCACCCAACTTGATGGCGGGGGATTCACAGTGCCTGACACGGAGTCAGGGGGTACAGAGTGCCTGACGTGGTGCTGGGGGGTTACAGCCATCCATGCCCCCACCCAGGGGGTCCCTCCCGCCCCGGGGTGGGGGTGTCAGTAGCCACAGAGAGGGGAAGGGGCCTGCCAGGGCATTTACATCTTTGTAGAGGGGTTGCTCCTCGGGCGCCGGGTGAAGTGCCGGGCTGCTGCCGCCGCTGCCCGCCCGCGGGGCCCCGGCAGGCGGCTGCGCTGGGGCTTGACCATCCCCCGGCTTCTCCTCGACGGGCGCACGGGGGAAGGGGCCGGCGGCGGGGCGCTCCCGGCCGCCCTTCTCCGGCAGAGCCCGGGCAGGTGGAAAGCGGCCGCCGGCCGCCAAGGGGTCTCCGCCGCGGGGCTCTTCCTCGCCCTCCTCCTCCTCATCCTCTTCCTCCTCCTCGGGGGGCTTGTGCCCCTCGACGTCCACCTCGGGCTCGTCTTCCTCCTCCTCGTCCTCCTCCTCCTCGCTGCTCTCTTCGCTGGCGAAGCTGCAGCTAGTGCCTCCGGGGGAGAGGAGGCGGTGCGCGGCGTGCGGAGGATGCGGGTGCCTCTCGCACCCCGCATCCTCGGGGGGCGGCGGCGGCGGCGGCGGCAGCAGCAGCTGCAGCGGCGAGGCGGAGCGCGGGGGGCCGCCGCCTCCGTGCAGCTTGGCCAGGCTCTCCGAGTCCTCCTTGCCGCCCACCGGGCGGAAGGCGCTGGAGTGGTGGTACCCGCCGCTGGCCTTGCGCCCGCCCGCCGCCTCCAGCAGGTGCGGGTGGTGCGCGGGGACCCGCCCGCCCCCGCCGCCGCTGCCCCCGTCGGAAGCGGCGGGCGAGGCGGGCTCGGCGCTGCCACCGGGGGGCGACTCGAACAGCGGCCCCGCCGGCCCCGTCCCCAGCCCCGCCGGTCCCGCCTCGCCGCCGGGCTCCGACAGGTCCAGGAAAGCCTGGCGCAGCAGGCCCGCCCCGTCCCCCCCCAGCGAGCATCCCAGGGCGCCGGGGGGCTGCGGCGGCGGCTGCAGGTAGGTGGGTACCGGCAGCCCGCCCGGGGTGCGCGGCGGCCAAAACATGCAGAAGGGAGGGTAGAAGGCGGCGTCCTTCCTGCCCGGCCAGAAGAGCCCCGAGAGCCCGCCGCCCGCCGCCGCCGCCCCGCCGGCCTTGTGCGCGGCCGCCCCGCCGAGAGCATCGCCGCCGCCGCCCTCCTCCTTCTTGTGGCAGAGCCCGAAGGCGGCGGCGGGGAAGCCGTAGGGGTGCGGGAAGAGCCCGCCGCAGCCGGGGAACTTCTGGAGCATGCCGCCGAAGGAGCCCTTGCTGGGCACCGGGATGACGGGGTAGCTCCGCGGGCTTTTGCCGCCGTGCGCCGCCGCCACCGCCTCCTGCAGCTCCTCGTCCTCCTCGAAGCGCGGCCGCTTCTGGTGCAGGTCGGGCGGGGCGGCCAGCAGGTGCGGGCTCAGCAGCCCGCCGCCCACCACCGCCGCCGCCTTCACCGAGCCCAGCGGGTGGCAGGCGGCGGGGGCGCCCGGGAGCTGTTGTAGCGGGCCGGGATGAAGCTCCCGCGGCATCCCCAGGCGCACTCGTGGGATACGTCGAAGGCGAAGTTATCCGGCAATTTGGGGGGCCGGTTCTCCCCCAAGAAGGACTTGCAGAGCCGCTCTGCCTCCCTCTTGGTGATCATGCCGCAGCGGCGGGAGGAGATGGGCATGGCCCCGGCCCGCCGCAGGATCTCCAGCTGCACCGGCGTGCACTGCACGCAGGTGATGCCCAGGGCCACCCGCCGGTTGTGGATCTCGTTGTAGCTGAAGTTTTTGAGGAGGGTGTTGGAGATCTGCGCCAGGCACAGCCGCTCCTGCCCGTCGATGACCAGGGAGACGATCGGGATGCCGTAGAGGATCACCTGCCCCACCTGGTTGGGCTTCATGGCGGCGTGGCCGGCCCTCGGCTGGTTCATGGGGTCCGGCGGGTACGCGCTGGACGGCGACGGCAGCAAGATATCGGTGGGGCCGGGCAGCGGGCTGGTCGCCATCGTCTCAGCGCCGGGGGGGCTGCTCTGCTCTAGCTGCGGGAAGCGAAGGGGACAGAGACACAGCGCCGTCAGCCGAGCGCTCACAGGGATGGGGGTCCCCGCCGCACGCACCCCGTCCTCCCCCCGCTGCTCTGGTCTGCCGGCATGCGGAGGCGCTACCTGCGGGGAGGGAGGTTCGCTCAGCGACCCCGACTCCCCCAAACCTGCTCTGTCCTCGCCGGGGGTGCCCCCGGAGCCGTCCGCGCCCGCGCATCCCGGGTCTCCGACGTGCGCATCCCAGCGCAGGTGCGGAGCTGGCGGCACACCAGCGGACCGTCCCCGTTTGGAAGAGTCCCCGACCCCAAACACGCAGCACAGACCCGCGTCCTCCTCCTCGCCCTGGAAACCCGCCGCCAGCCGGGAGGGCTCCACGCCGAGCCTCCGCGGGCACACGGCGACCGAGGAGAGGATGACCCCTCTCCTCACGCCCCGCGATGGGGAAAGCACGGAAGAAGAACAAAAAAAAACCCCCAAAGTTCCCGTGCTCCCCGCGGCTGCCGGGGCATCCTCCCCGCCCGGCGCCCGTTACCTCCGCGACCGCGCTCCGGCCGTGCCGCCGCCGGACCTTCCTCCTCCTCCTCCTCCTCCAGCAGCCGCCGGCAGGAAGGGAAGCGCATCCCCGCGCCCGCCGCCGCGGAGCCGCGAGCCGGACAGAGCCCCCCGCCCCCGGTGCGGCGGCCCCCGTGGGCGCTCTGACGTCAGCGGCCCGGGGGGGCGGACGGGGCCGGACCCCCCGCACTCCCCCCCGGCCGGTGGGAGGCGAGCGGGGCTGGGGGCGGCTCCCCCATCGCGCTCGTCCTCCCTCTCTCCCTCCCCGCACCGGGAGGGGATGCGGGCGCCCCGTCGGGGCCCGGCCTCCCGCCGCCGCCCTCCGAGCGCTGCCCGGCTCCGCGCACGGTTTCCCGGCGAGAGGCCGGAACGGTGGAAGGTGGAATGCGCTTTGGCTTTGGGGGTGGTTTTTTTTGTTTTTTTGTTTGTTTTTTGGTTTTTTTTTTTTTTTTTGTTTTGTTTTTTTTTTTTTTTTTTTTTTTTTTTCGGTTTGGTTTTTTTTTTTTTTTTTCCTATTTTTCTCCCTTCTCTCTTTCCTCCGCCCCTTCACGGTCTAAGACAAATCGCTTCCAAGAAGCTGAATATCCTCCTTGTCTACCCCGCGTCTTTTCGGAAACGGTGTTTTTGAAGGGATCGGGAGAAATTACAGGGTAGGGGAGGAGAAAGAGAGAAAAAGTTGATTTCTCGCCACAGCCGTGTCCTCAAGAGCACGGGCAGCTTCTGTGTCCTCACTGCCATTCCCAAATACACCGGAGTCATTCACCAGAACCACTTTCACAAGCACCCGAGCCCAGATTCTCGCTCCAACAAAGACCAACACGGCGCAAATATGTTCTGCTCAGGTTTTTTTAACTTTTCCCCCTTTCCCCCGGTTGGTTTATGTCCCCAGCTGAGGAAAAAAGAAAACAATAAACAATAATAACGAGCAAATAGCAGAACGGCGGCGGTTTCTGCTTTTTTTTTTTTGCTTTTTTTTTTTTCTTTCTTTTCTTTTTAGTGAATACAGTGAACTGAAAATGTAGATTTTTTTACACGAATCACCTCCAAAAGCTTGTGGGTCCCAACTGTCCCTCTGTGCAGCGCTGGGAGAGGACGGGGCGACCCCGCCGCAACACCCCACCCCAAGGTAGAAGGCCAATACTGCTCAACGCCGCTGCTTTCCAGGGAGGAAAACTGCAGAAAAACGGCTAAACTCCGGGAAAATTAAAAACTCATTCCTAGCCAAAATGGGGAGACAACTGGACCGTCAAGTGTTTCTTAATACCCTTCTGATTTATTTTCCTTTTAAAAGAATATCTGTATCTCTCTTTTTCTATCACTGCGCATGACCAGCACTTAATATTTCTGCACATTTAACTATGAAAATTTGATTTTTTTTTTTTTTGGTCTGTTTTTTTTCTCGGGCATCACAGATCCAGACGGAAATCTCTACACCGACCTTTCCCAGGACATCCACACTAAAGCTCACACCTTCTCTCTTCTATCCGGGTATTGCTCGGGTCCTCGATGTTGATGATGATGATGATGATGATGATGATGATGATGATAATAATAATAATAATAATAATAATAATAATAATAATAATAATAATAATAATAATAATAAAATAAAATCTCCTTATTACTTCTGTCACTTCCCATTAAACCTTGCTCTTCCCCATGTCTCGACTGTCACAGGGAGACATCCCCTTTCCCCTCCCTCCTACTTTTCCCCCGATCCTCTTCTGCACAGAGCCTGCTGCTTTCGTGTGAGCAATGGCTATAAGCCTCACATTGGTGACATTTTAATCAATGCTTCCTAGCCAGACTGACATGAATTTTACACTTCAAAACTCTCCTCCGTCAGCTAATTGATTCAAATTGTTTTATTGGTTAAACCCGTGTCACACATTGTGTGATCTATTACCACGCCTCGGAGAAAATCTCCCCTCCTGTCTCCGCTCCCAGGTCGGCACCAGGAGGGACGGGGGGTTTTAGGGAGAAGCCGCTTGATCCTGCGGATGCTCAGTGCCTGCATCCCCGCAGCGGCCGCCGGGCAGACCGCTCCCCTCTGCCGTGGTCACTCGGCGGCTTTCCCCCGACCATTCCCGGGAGAACCGGGGCTGGGAAACTTCGCCCCAGGCTCTGAGCCCGGCGTTGGCAGAGGACGGGAAGCGGTTGTAGGAGGCGAAAGGGATGAGAGGGTTTCGCAGAACACCTTCAGCGAAGGGAGACGAGGAAAACTCAGGCTCGGGACAGGGTCGTCTCTAGCGAGCGACTACGTTCTATTTTGTGGTGACTAAACGAAAACTAAAACTAAACTGCCTTTTTTTCTTTCATTTTTAAATTTTTTTTTCTTTTTGTCTCCTGCTTGGTGCTGTTGGCCCTCCTTGATTCCGTTGTAAAAACTGAGCGGCTTCCTCCATTCCCTTTAAAAGGAAAACCCAAGCCCACGGGTCGCGATGTCTTAGATCCCGGAGGGGAAGAGGCGCAAGGGCCACCGAATTTGGGGCAGAGACTGATCCACACCAGGCACCGTGGAGAAGCGGGGCAAGAATACCCCGTTCTCTACTTTTTCTTACTTAAGCCTGTTGGGAAACCTCATGGGGTAGCAGGACCTCAGTGCGGGCATGGCGGGGGTGGCTTGGCAGAGAAAGGCCGGCCCGCACAGTGCCCGGGAGGATCCCGCAGGTGTCCCCGGGCTGGCGAGGCCCGGCGGGGCTGCTCGGCCGCCGCCAGCCCCACCGGGGTCTCCGCGGGTCGGATGGAGCCCACGACGAGGGGCGGAGAGGAATCCCCGCTGGAGGTGGGCTGTCCACACTCCTCCTCACGGCTAGGTGCACATCAGGGGGCTCCTGTCCTGGGGTCGAACTCCAATTCCTCCCGTTCATTTCGTTGTTTGCTGTTGCCATTTGGCTGGGAGTAGCCTCTCAACAGAGGAGTAGAAAAGGTGGAGAAACTTCTCGCAGAAGCCTGGAAGGGCTAAGCAGGAGTCCTGACTCCTTTTCCCTTTTCCTTTTTCTGTCGCGATTCTGCCTCGGAGGGGGAGAGCGGGAGGCGACAGCCGCTCCTTCTCCCGCCGCGGATCGCTTCGCGTGGAAATGAGCAGCGGGGAAAAGCCAAGTTCAAACCACCCCAGCCCACCCTCATGGCCTTTTTTTGCTTCCAGAGGGCTTAAATATTGTAGCAGAGAGGCCACGAGAAGCAAGACAACCTTGGTGCGTTTAAAAAACCACAAAGAAAACCACCCCCAACGCGAATCCATTCCCTCCTCCCACCTCTCCACATCCCATTGAAACTTCCAGCTGTGTAAGTAGCAGACACACAAGGTATTGTTATAAAAGCTCTTCTAACAAAATTTAGACAGCAAAGTTTTGGTTTTTTAAAATTTTGTTTGTTTGTTTGTTTGTTTTTAATTAATAATTTTGTGTAGATTTCGCTTGCGTTGCTTGGTCTAGAGCGAAGCTCTTTTCTAAGTAGTATTTTTTTTTTAATCGCACTTTATTATATTAAGCAGAAAGGGCATTTGGAATAGAGGTGGTCCCATCTGGAAAACCCCGGAGCTCATTTAGATCACATCACTTCGGGCTTTTGTCTCTGCTCTTGAATTACCCAGCTAGACACAACAAAAGGGTAGAGATCCCTACGTGGAGTTTTTTCAGTGGCAAAAGGACGCCTCGGAAAGATGCTTCTATATTCGTAATAACGAGGGGGGAAACGACTCAACGGGATCTTTTCTTGGCTCTCGAAAGACACCAGGAGAGTTCAGGGATGGGGCATTTTTAGATAGTTTTTTACCCCTCCGGTAGCTGAAAACCAGCGCGCCGGCTGAAGGGAAGGAATAGAGAACGGCACCTTTTGTCTGATGGAGGTCTCTTAAATTCTCAGTTTAATGAGCTCGGAGCGACCCAAACCCGAGACGGTGCTCGCCGAAGGTACGTGCAGACCTTAGCCAGGAGGGAAGGCTGCCCGCCAGCCCCCCAGCATCACTCACCCCATAGAAACAGCACCTCGAAAAAAAAAAAAAAAAGCCATTTATCATTTTATTTTGTCCTACGGGAAAGGACTGGCAGCCCGGGAGGAGATGGGCGCTCCCCAGCCCTCCGTTCAGCTCTTAAAAACACGAGGGTGATTCTTTCTGTTCTGCCTGAGGAAGGGGTGGCAGGGAGGAAAAGAGCTGCAAGTTTAGGTGTGCGTGAATTAACACCCCAGGGAGTGGCGGACATGGGGAGGGGAAGAAAGATCCCAAACGGAAAAAAGCCACCTCAGCTATTGATTTTTTTTCCCCCCCAAACGCATAAATTAAAGAGCTCTGAACATTTGCATCAGAAACGTGCCTGCTCCGAAGTATTTGAACGAGCAACAAATTTCCACGGTGGCGAAGCAGGGCCCCAATCGGGCTGTGATGGGGAGCAGCGATCCCAAACTTCCGA